GATCTTCATCAGATAACGCGGCCCCAAATGCCAACGACCCAGACGCCCAGGCCCTCGACGAAATTCTGGTGCTGACCGAGGAGCTGGCGAACGCACAACAGCAGGACGACGCTGGTGGGCGCGATCCTTGGCGGCAGCGTGAGCGAGCCGATTGCCCTCCGCGAGGGGCGCAGGCTGCAAGCCGTCTTGCACCTGCTGGCGGGCGGCGCGGCTCGTCATTCCCGGCGGCGACGCCGCCGCTTCAACATCGAATCTTCAGACGCCAGTCTCCATATGTGCGCCCAGAAATCCTGCGCGCGTGGCGCGCTCTGCACCTTGCCCTCAACATATATGGTGCGTACACCTACGCCACATCAATCTATTCTATAGATGGGGTCCCGGAAGGGAAACAGCGACCGCGCAAACAGCGACTGCGGCATTCGGGCGCAACGCAACCGAGGCCAGATCAACGACAGGGCAGAGAGGGAGATTCTCGATCGCAGGACCATCAATAATTCGATCGCCCGTCAGATTCATGGCGCCCCCCTCCCATCGAAGATCAGGCTGCTCAGGCAACTGCAGAAGATCTGGCGGCAGCTGGCTGGGCCAGCGCCAGGCGCTCCGAGAAGACTCCAACGAGCTCGTTTGTCTCTGCGCTCTGAGCAAAGACGCGAACGAGCGGCGGAACATATGCGACCATGTCGGGGGCATTGTTGCAGAGGGCATGCCCGCGGGAAAGAGTGCCTGGAGCCGCCTTGCAGGCGAGACAGACCGGTTCCTGAATCCAGCCTTGCGCGCGCTACCGAGCCTGCGGCCGCTGGGCCCCGATGGCCGCGAAACGAGGGTGGGCCGCATCTCGGGCCGAAAGCATCCTGGAAGAGCACCGAGGGCGCAAGGGCTCGATCCAGACCCCCGCCGAGACCTCAGGCACCCCGAAGTGTTCGAAAACCTTCTGCACCTGCAAGGAGACGATGGGCCTCTCGACCAGGAGCTGAACGGACCTGGGGGATAACTGGGCGGGGTCGATCACCTGGCCATCGAGGAACGCTTGGGCGCGCGCGTTGGAGGCGCCCACCCCCGCGCGGTTAAGACAAGCCCAGGGCGCCGAGAAGGGCCCCTCGATGGCCTGCCAAAGAGGGCCGCGGGGCGCCAGGCGCGCAGAAGCGGCGGCAACCCCCGTCTCCAAGGTCTTCATGGGCATGAGTTTTCCCAGAGCACGCGCGCGAATGGAGTGCCTTCGATGGTTCCAAGGCGTGGCCCTGTAGACGGGGTCGAACCCGCGCGCGCGCGGGAACAAGCCCGCGCAGAAGCGAACTCTCGATGGCGGGAGTGCTGGCGAAGACCCACTTGTCAAGCGCTATGATCACACTTATATGCTTTAGCTCATGCTTAAGCATTGATCCGGCACCAGCAAAATTAAGCATGGCGCGCAGAGCCCCCCTAACCGCTGGAGGCTCGCGTCGCCCACGCACGTGCCGCAATGGGAAGCGCGGGGCACGCGCGACGCACGTCGCCCAGGGCGGCCTGCCATCCTGACCTGAATCAGACAGGTCGCAAGCAGGCAGCTGGGCAAGATGGCACGGTTGACCTTCATCGGCGAGCTACGCAGCCCTTGCAACTCAACAGCACGAGGACGGCGGTCGGCAATAACCAGCAACTTCCATTTGCCAGGGCGGAAAACGAGTCTGCACCGCTTTGTCGACGAGGCGCGCGCGCCCAACGAGTTCGAGAGCTTTCGCAGGGCCAACGAGCAATGTAGCCGAGTCGGAACCCGAACCAGTGAAATATTCAGCCCGCCCCGCCTGAATTCAAACCGAAAGGTCAGCAGACTTCCACGGATCGCCAGTCTGAAATATCGATAGCTTTCGGTCCTGCCATTTCTAGGGCACGTTGCGCCGCAAGCGAGCTCGGGCACGGCGGAGGCTGCGCAGCTAAGCAAGCGGCCGAACTCCGCCCGGCCTCTTGAACATGAGCGCCCTGCGCGTGGCCAAGGTCAGCCTTTCCAGCTGGTGCTCTCTCATTAAGATGAGCTGGCAGAACAGGAGGGCTTCATCGGGAAGTCGCAGCAATTGTCCGGGTGGCAGCTGGTCAAAACCACACCCCGCCCACTCTGGGAACGTCGTGGAACGTCGTGGGACTTTCTTGGCCCAGGTGGTCCAGGGCCGGGGGGGTGGGGTCGTTCGCCGAGGTCCTCGGGCCATTCGAGGGGGGGGTCTTTGGGGCCAACCCGCCGCCGGGCTTTCCACTCGGCCTCGAGGGTCTCGACCTCCTGCGCGCTGTTCGCTGGGGCATGCTGTGCGGGAAGCTGAACGCAGCGGAACAGAGCAGCCGACGCATCTTCATAATGCTTCCCAGCATCATGGCATGATCGCAGGCAAACTGAGAGAGGCCAGCAGCGAGGGAGTAATGCATATCAGGGTGGGTGAGCAAGTCGAGCATGTTGCAGAAGCAGGCAGCGCAGTCGCTCGCAACGCACTGGGATTCCTGCAGGCGGCGAGCATAACGACAGAACTGGCGTGTCCTAGCGGGGCTGCATGGCCTCGCAAACTCCGAGAACGGCCGCCCCGCTGCGCCGCCATGTGGCGAATGGGCTGATCATCGGGAACGACGGAGGTCCAGGACGTCCAAGAATGCACCAGGAAAACCCCATGGGCCCTCCACGCCCAAGGTAAGCCTAGGCAGGATCATCAGAAATGTGGCGCACCTCAGGTAGCTCTAGCTCAGCGGCCTGAATGAAAGACTCCCAGGAAGCGTTGACACAACTTCCCTGGACATCGGCACTGGTTTGCCCCCACTGGTTATCCGAGGGCTTATTATCAGGCTCCTCGGGCACGGCCGTGGGAAACAGCTTCGGCACTTCGGCAGCCCTGACGCGCGACGCGTCTCTCGTACACGCAATCCTAAGTTGAACAGAGTAGTGCGGCTTCGTCGCGGCATCAAAGAGCAGAGATGCCTGGGCTCCAGCAGCGACGTCGTGGCTGTGAACCAAGTAGTCGGTACTTCGATTAGCTGGACGGCGCGTCCCGCCTTCTGCGGCAATGATCACGGCGCCGAGCGCTGAGGCCCATCCAGTCTACTCCAAGACTCTGGGCTTCATGCTTAAGCCCCCCCCTCATAATGAACGGCATCCGCTCGCTCTAAGCTGGGCCCCGAGATCACACAAGATATTCTAGTTTTGTGGGAGAAGACCAACACGATGATGCTGATAGACGCTGGCAACCGAAACTCCCCCAGGGAGGACGATTCCAAGAAACGAGAGACCCGCGCGCCCTGGCCCCAACATATCAAAGTGGCCCTCCACTGCCAATACACCAACGTGTTTCGCAGTTGCTGACATGAGGCCTAGGCCTCCAGAGGAACTGCCTTGCCCCGTAGGGATCGCGTGGTAGAACCCATCAAGCCCCCCTATGAGATCTGAGGTTCGCCTGCGAAGCTCAGCGTCGACAGCGTGGGTTTCCTGCGCGGCGGGGACATCGGCGGAGGTGGGGCGAGGAGAGGAGAGGAGAGGAGAGGAGAAGGACATGTCAAGCCCAGCGCGTTCTGTAGCATTGCAGGTTTTGAGTGTTCAGAAATGCGGGGCCCATGGCCCGTCAGAACGGCTGCTACCCCTGCGTCGAGGGATCACTGACTGCGTGCGCTGCGCCCGCGGCGGCCTTGTCCACGCGCGCCTTCTCGGCCAGCCCCAGGGCCTGCTCGAGCGCCGCCTTCCCGCCAGGGCGGGCGACACTTACCGCGCCGCCATCGTCTGCAGCGTCCGCGAAGGTGGCGTCAGCGACGATCTCGTCGGACCACTTGCCGTCGAGATTATGGAAGGCGGTGCCCAGGAGATCGTCGTCCATGGAGTCAAGGTGGATGGCGGGGGCAGCGGCAGCGCCGGCAACGCCGCCGCCAGGAGCAGTGGGCCCTTCACGCCGAGGGGGCACCTGCATCTGCTGCGCCTGCAGCTGCTTCGCCTCAGCCACCTGGCTGCGGGCACTGACGAGCCTGTCGAAATCTGCAAGGACGGGCGCCTAACAGTTGAGCAGCGCAAGCTGCGCCCGCAACGCCACAGCGGGATCAGCGCCTGGAAATGGGACGGCACCAGACGCAGCAGCTCCACCAGCACCAGGAACAGCCGCGCCGCCAGAGAGCGCGCCGCAGGCCTCCGCGGCTCTCTCGGCGGCATCCTTCTCCTTCGCGACGAGGTCGGCGTGCTCAGCTTGGAGCTTGGCGACCCGCAGCACCTGCTTCCCCAGGTGCTCCTGTGCCTTGCCCAACGCTGTGGCAAGTTTGGACACTGGCACCTTGAGCTGGTCAGACTCTTGCTTGGCCGACTTCGACACAGCAGAGGTGTCGCCTTGTTTGACCGCGCGCTGGGCGATGATGTGAGAGCGCTGCTGAGCAGGAAGACGAGTTACCAGAGCGCCAAACTGCAGCCCGCCCAGGGCGAGGAAGGCCTCGATCTGCTCGTCCTCAAGCTTGTCGGCGCCAGCGTCCTTGGGCAGCCCATCTGCTACCTGGCGCCCGCGGCGAGCGCACGTCAGGCACAGGAGGCTTCTGAGCACCACAGCAGTAGCATGTGCGTCTCCAGCCGAACTGGTTCGCGAACTTGCATCTCTTGACGGCACGCGTCCAGGTCTGGCCTCCCCAGAGAGCTTGGCACCACTGCTGAGATTCTTGGCGGGGCCTTTGGTCATGTGCAGAGAGTGTCTCGAGAGGTGGGTCACCTGCTGGCCCCAGAAGCTCGAGAGAAGGCAACGGATCAGCACAACGCCAATCGCTAATTCTCGGGCGTTGATGTTGATGGCCCCTCACAACGTTTAGCCTTGAGCCAAAAAGGCTTGAGGACAACTTCTACGGACTTCCTCCTCCTCCGCCGCCTCTTCCTCCTTTTCCTTTTCCTCCTCCTCCTCATCCTTCTCCTCCTCCTCCTCCTCCTTCTCCTCCTCCTCCTCCTCCTTCTCCTCCGCCTCCTCCTCCTCCTAGTCCTACTCCTCCTCCCACTCCTCCTCCCACTCCTCTCCTTCACCGTATCCGTGTACAGCCTCTTTTGTTCAAAGGGGTACAATTTGCGCGGTCATCACTATGAGCGTGGATGCCACGGTCTCAGATGGCCTCGCTGGCACGAGGGGCGTGAGCCTGAGCGTGAAGTCCGCAATGACGGATTTCGGGGTCCTCTCGCCCAGAGCCCTCAGGCGATCCACTGGCGCCGAGGCCAGCTCGCGGGGCTCCCAGCAAGAGGCCGAGCCCTGGGAGGAGAAGCTCGACCGGTCGGAGAGGGACATCTGCGCCGCTCTGCAGCCGAGCGTCCCCGCAGTCACCCTCGTGCTGCCGAGGCCGGACCCAGCCTCGTTCGCCGCCCAGTTGGCGCAGCCGGGCTACCGCCCGCTCGTGCAGGGTCGTCGGGTGCTGCCACGGGTGACCTTGGCCCAAGGTGGCCCCAGCTGTACCAGGGAAGCCCGGACGAGCGGGCCGACTGGGCCAGCATTTGCGCGCCGGCTGCCCGCGTAGGGTTGCGGATACTGAAACGCCATACTTGTCACGCTGTGTGCCTCGCTGGCGGCGTGCGTTGGCCACTGCGTAAGGTTGCCGTGCCGTCGCGAGTAGCTGAGATGGCCTGGGCACCCTGCGGGACGCCTAGAGGGCCCTGGGGGATTTCCAAGATGGCGCGAAGAGCCGAGGGCACCCCTGGCCGAGATCGCTCCTTGCAAGCTCCGAGGTCTGCCGCCACGGGACGAGCCCCGCCTCCCTGCGGTGGCCGCCGCCCCCTCGGCGCGGGCCGCGTGGCCGGGTGGCCCGCGGGCTGCGGCGTCGCTGGGGCACCAGCTGGCCTGGCCTCTGATCGCCGCCGCGGCCTCGGCCTGCCTGGCGGTCGGGGTCGGCCACCTGCGGCTCGGGCTGCTCGCCGGCCCCGCGCTGGCCGCCTCGGCGTCCGCCTGCCTGTGCACGCTCGGGCTGCCCACCGCCAGAGTGCACAACCGCACCCACCGTTTCGGGATCGCGCCCCAGGGGGCCGCGAGGAGTGGTGGGTCCAGACATCCGCCCGCCCACCTGCGGGCTGGGGTTCGTGTCTGTATCCAACGCTGCCCATGGGACCCGCGGGCGGGGCCCCAGGCGTTGTGGATGTGGGTGCTTCCTGGCGGTGCAGGTTGGCCAGGACGTGGCGTGACCGCGCGGATGCGAATTTTGGGATGCTGTCCAGGTCGATCTGCAAGGCCAGGGATGCGGCAGCACGGTCCGTGGATGCCGTGGAGGGCCTGCTGTTGCGGCCAGTCCAACGGCTGCAGGGCCTCGTGGACGTCATGGTGGAAGAGCAGCAGCCGGCCTTCGCGAGAATGCAGGAGCATGAGGCCGCGCTGAAGGAGCAGGGTTCTGACCCAACCTGGCGGGCGCCCAACCCCGCGTCACTCAAGCGGCCCTTGTGCGGCCCGCGCGGCTGCCTCGTCTCGCTCCGGCGCGAGCTGCGAGAGGTGAGGCACGAGCTCTTGGAGTATTTCGACCAGTCGATGAGCTCGCAGCTTTCCGGCAGGATCGCCACCGAGCACGCCGCCTTCGAGCGGTATGTCGTGCACTTGCCAGTGTTCGCCGCTCTGACCTTGAACATGACGCTCTCGGTTGTCCAGGTGGTGCTGGCCGCAGGGCTGGCAGCCCCCGGCACCTCTGAGGTAGCCAGTGCCCCAGTCGGTCCTCGCCCAGCTAACATTGCGGCGGTGTTGGCGCCCGCAACTAGGCGCCTCCTGAACAGTGGCGCCACTGATAGCGGACCGGGAGAGGAGATTCTGCAGTGCCTCAGGCCCGCCGTCGTGCAGGCTGCGCTGTGCCTCGCGCAGGTGGCCGCCGCCTTCGCGCTCTCGCGCGGACCACCTGCCTGTGCAGTGGCCATCGCGAAGATCTCCAGCCTGGAGGTTGAGCTCAACACCCGCGTCAACAGGTTCCAGGAGCAGGTGAGCGGCGTGACAACATGGAGTCGGGCGCGCGGAGATTTGATCGCAGGGTGCTACTCCAGTATACTCTCGCGCGCAAGCGCCCCCTTTCCCCACGTGGTGTGCCGCGTTGGCGGCCTCCTGTAAGCCACCGCGTAGTGCCACCGTACCCGTGTGCGTAAGGCGCCTCTTCCGTTGTTGTTCAGGTGCTGGAGTTCGAACTGGGCCCCGCGTTCGCAGACGTCAAGGCGGAGGCCGCGCTCTTCTTCCCGCAATTCAGAGAATGCATGCGAAGGCTCAGGGTGGATGCGCAGCGCAAGCGTCGTGCCGACAAGCTGCACGACCTGGAGAAGCAGGCCATGAGGCTCGGCTTCTGAGCGCCCCGCAGCGGCCCATGTCCGCAGAAGTCGGGACGGAGCCTGCGCCTTTCTCCCTACAGGTCGGAGACTGCCTGCAGAGGCCCCGAGCGGCCGACAGCCTGTACATAGGGCCTCGAGAGGCGGGCCGCGAGGATCGGCTGAGCGCCCCGCGGCGGCCCTGCGCGGGCGGCCTGCCGACCAATGCTTCGCTTCCCCTTCGGTCGGCCGCGAGCTGCGGAGTGGCGCAGGAGGGGGGGCGGCCTCCTGGGAAGGCATGGGGGCTCCCCAGGAAGCCCCCACGATTTCCCAGAAGCCTTCCCAGGCCCACAGGCCCACTGGGCGGGGCCCCGCGGATCGTCTCCCGACCTGGCCGGGAGCCGATGGCCCAGAGTGGGCCCGAGCTGGCCTGGTGCTCGTGAATTTTTACCCGACGCCCCTCCGATAAGCCCCCCGGCCCCTTGTGGAGGCCCCCGCAGCCCCCCCCCCCAGAAGGCCGCACCCTCCGCCCCAACTCCCGGTCGGCCGGCCGTCCCAAGGGCCAGGAAGCCCAGGAGCTGGCAATGCAGCCGCAGCCCCCTCCGCGGGCCAGGTGGCAGGCGCAACCATACCCGGCTCGAGGATCGCTCTGAAATGTTGGACACCTTCGGCGTTTTCTGCACACCTGGGGCTCTCAGGGGTCCTCCAGGGAATTCTGGAGCTGCGCTGGCCTCTGGAGGCCTCCACCCAGCTCCTGGCCGTGTTTGTTGTTGCTCCGCTTCCCGAGGGTGTATTCGGTTGCCCTTCCCCCCCATGCAGGCTCTGAGAGTGGCCAGCCGACCTCCGCCATGTATCATTGTTGCTCTTCTTCGCCTCCTCATCCCCCCTCCTTCTCCATCCTTCCACCTCCTCCTGCCTCTTGCCCTTCTCTAATCCTTTTGTGGCATCATCCTTCATCCGCCCTCTATCTTCATTGTTCTTCATATTTTCTCCATTCGCCTCGTTGGTCCCCATCGTCTGTGCTCCACATCCCTCGTTCCTTCAAATGGTTTCTCGAAAATTCATGCAAACTCTCCTTCTTTGTCCTCCCGTCTTCCTCGTCCTCCCATCTCTCCCCCTTGCCCGTTCTCCCTCACACCTTCCTCCCATCGCCTGCATCACTCCACTCCGATTCTCTCCTCCCCCCCTCCCCTCCCTCCTCTCTGTCTGCCGTTTCCCCCTCCCCCCTCCCTCCTTCTCCAATCCCTCATCCCTCCTACTCGCTCCTCCCTCCTTCCCTCCACGCCCCGCCCCTCCCTGCTGCCTCGTTCCCTCAATGCCAGACGCTTCGCGTAAGCCCACCAGCCTGGTCACTCTTGCCCACGGTACCTGAGCTCGAATGCGCTTGCTTCGTGCTCCGCGTTCCTGGTAGCCCGCCGCCTCCTGGGTTGGCCCGGCAGTGGAAACGCTCCGCTAGGTTGATGCGTGGTTTGCAGATACAGAGCTGATCATGCCCTCCTGGCGTGCAGGACTTAATTCCCTTCTGGCGTTTTGGAGCCATTCACTCGCATGGTGCATCAGCTACCCTGGCCGTTCGCAGTCAGCTCAGCCAGCTCCCCTTCAGCCCGCAGCCCCACCGGCGGCTGCTTCTGAGTGCGGGCGCGGCCGCTGTGTTTTTCGGCTTGCGCGTTGCTATTTTGACAGGCCCGTGGCCCAGACCTCTCAGCTCGGCGACTGCGAATCCGCGTCCGCCCGCGACCAAAATTATCCCGGCAAAGCAACCAAACAGCGATGTGTAGAAGCATATCTGGAAGCATTCCCCTTAAGATTCAGATGAGAATCCAGTTGTAGAATTCTGCTGTTCTCGCAGACGTAGTCGCATTCGCGATGACCGTCGCAGTCACAGCCTCAGCCTCAGCCTGCCTCGGCCTCAGCCTCAGCCTGCCTCAGCCTCAGTCTGCCTCAGCCTCGGCCTCAGCCTGCTTCAGCCTCAGCATCAATCTGCCTTCAAACTCGGCCTCAGCCTCTGGCTGCCTCAGCCTCAGCCTGCATCAGCCTCAGCCTCAGCCTCAGCCTGCCTCTGCATCAGCCTGCCTCAGCCTCAGCCTCAGCCTCAGCCTGCCTCTGCTCAGCGTCAGCCTCTTCAGCCTCAGCTCAGTCCCTGCCGTCGGACTCTGCCTCAGCCCAGCATCCTCAGCCTCAGCCTGCCTCAGCCTCAGCCTGCCTCAGCCTCAGCCTCAGCCTGCCTTCAGCCTCGGCCTCAGCATCAGCCTCAGCCTCAGCCTCAGCCTGCATCAGCCTCAGCCTCAGCCCTCAGTCTGCCGCCGGCCTCGGCTAAGCATCAGCCTGCCTCAGCCTCAGCGATGGGGCAGCTCAGCATAGCCTGCTCAGCTCATCTAGACTTGACGTTGGCAGCGCGCCTCCAGCCCTCAGCCTGCCTCAGCCTCAGTCTCAGCCTGCCTCAGCCTCAGCCTGCTTCAGCGTCTGCCTCAGCTTGCCTCAGCCTCAGCCTCAGCCTGCCTCAGCCTCAGACTGCCTCAGCCTCAGCCTCAGCCTGCCTCAGCATCAGCCTGCCTCAGCCTCAGCCTCAGCCTCAGCCTCAGCCTGCCTCAGCCCCAGCCTCAGCCTGCCTCAGCCCCAGCCTCAGCCTGCCTCAGCCTCAGTCTCAGCCTGCCTCAGCCTCAGCCTGCCTCAGCCTCAGCCTCAGCCTGCTTCAGCCTCAGCCTGCCTCAGCTCACCCCAGGCCTCAGCCTGCCTCAGCCTCAGCCTCCGCCTTGCCTCAGCCTCAGCCTCAGCCTGCCGCCGGGCTCGGCCTCAGCGACTCAGCCTGCTCAGCCTGAGCCTGCCTCAGCCTAAGCCTAAGGCCTAAGGCTCGAGCATGCTCAGCATCACGCCAGCGCTCAGGCTCAGCCTCAGCCTGGCTCAGGCCTCAGCCTCAGCCTCACCCCCAGCCTCAGCCTGCCTCAGCCTCAGCCTCAGCCTGCCTCAGCCTCAGCCTCAGCCTGCCGCCGGCCTCGGCCTCAGCCTCAGCCTGCCTCAGCCTGAGCCTGCCTCAGCCTAAGCCTAAGCCTAAGCCTCAGCCTGCCTCAGCATCAGCCTGCCTCAGCCTCAGCCTCAGCCTGCCTCAGCCTCAGCCTCAGCCTGCCTCAGCCTCAGCCTGCATCAGCCTCAGCATCAGCCTGCCTCAGCCTCAGCCTCAGCCGGCCTCGGCCTCAGCCTCAGCCTGCCTCAGCCTAAGCCTGCCTCAGCCTAAGCCTCAGCCTGAGCCTGCCTCAGCCTAAGCCTAAGCCTCAGCCTGCCTCAGCATCAGCCTGCCTCAGCCTCAGCCTCAGCCTCAGCCTGCCTCTGCCTCAGCCTCAGTCTGCCTTCAGCCTCGGCCTCAGCCTCAGCCTGCCTCAGCCTCAGCCTGCATCAGCCTCAGCCTCAGCCTCAGCCTGCCTCAGCATCAGCCTGCCTCAGCCTCAGCCTACGGCGCCTCAGCATAGCCTTCAGCCACAGCTCAGAATCAGTCTGCCGTTTTTTTTTCTTTTTTCGGCCTCAGCCTCAGCCTCAGCCTGCCTCAGCCTCAGCCTCAGCCTCAGCCTCAGCCTGCTTCAGCCTCAGCCTCAGTCTGCCTTCAGCCTCGGCCTCAGCCTCAGCCTGCTGCCTCAGCCTCAGCCTGCATCAGCCTCAGCCTCAGCCTCAGCCTGCCTCAGCATCAGCCTGCCTCAGCCTCAGCCTGCCTCTGCCTCAGCCTCAGCCTCAGCCTGCTTCAGCCTCAGCCTCAGTCTGCCTTCAGCCTCGGCCTCAGCCTCAGCCTGCCTCAGCCTCAGTCTGCCTTCAGCCTCGGCCTCAGCCCCAGCCTGCCTCAGCATCAGCCTCAGCCTGCCTCAGCCTCAGCCTGTCTCAGCATCAGCCTCACCCTCAGCCTGCTTCAGCCTCAGCCTCAGCCTGCCTTCAGTTCGGCCTCAGCCTCAGGCTGCCTCAGCCTCAGCCTGCATCAGCCTCAGCCTCAGCCTCAGCCTGCCTCAGCATCAGACAGCTCCAGCCTCAGCCTCAGCCTGCCTCAGCCCCAGCTTGCCTCAGCCTGCCTTCGGCCTCGGCCTCAGCCTCAGCCTGCCTCAGCCTCAGCTTGTCTCAGCCTCAGCATGAGCTTGCCTCAGCATTCAAAATGTGGCCCAGGAATGCGGTCCTGGGAACTCGAAGAACACGAAATGGCCTACAGTTGGTTCCGGGCATTCAAAAACATGCCCAGGAATTGAGTTCTGAGAACTCGAAGACCACGAAGTGGCCTACAGTTGGCTCTGGGCATTCGAAATCATGCCCAGGAATGGAGTTCTGGGAACTCGAAGACCACGAAGTGGCCTACAGTTGGCTCCGGGCTTACAAAAGCATGCCCAGAAATGGAGTTCTGGGGATTCGCAGAACACGAAGTGGCCTACAGTTGGTCCAAGGCATTCAGAATCATGCCCAGGAATGGAGTTCTGGGAATTCGAAGACCACGAAGTGCGCTACTGTTTGTCGAAAAAAGAGTCCCCGGATTCCCGCAGCAGCCGTCCAGATCCCGCCCAGACCCCCCTGGGGCGTCAAGATGTTTTCTTTTGGCCCCACTAGAAACCTACCAGTCTTCGCTGTTAGGTAAAAATTACCCCGGCAAAGCAACCTAACAGCGATGTGTAGAAGCATAGCTGGAAGCATTGCCTTTGATAGTTATGTAGGAGTCCTGTTGTAGAATTCTGGTGTTCTGGCAGTCGCATTCGCATTCGCAATGGCAGTCGCAGCGGCAACGTCAGTCGCAGTCGCAGTCGCAGTGGCACTGCCAGTAGTTGCAGTAGCCATTTCCAAACCAGCAGCAACAACAGCAGCAGCAGCAGTAAGAGTAACAGTAGTAGTAGTAGTAGTAGTAGTAGTAGTAGTAGTAGTAGTAGTAGTAGTAGTAGAAGTAGTAGTAGTAGTAGTAGTAGTAGTAGTAGTAGTAGTAGTAGTAGTAGTAGCAGTAGCAGCAGCAGCAGCAGCAGCAGCAGCAGTAGTAGTAGTAGTAGTAGTAGTAGTAGCAGTAGCAGCAGCAGCAGCAGTAGTAGTAGTAGGAGTAGTAGTCGTAGCTGTAGTAGTAGTAGTAGTAGTAGTAGTAGTAGTAGTAGTAGTAGTAGTAGTAGTAGTAGTAGTAGTAGTAGTAGTAGTGGTAGAAGTAGTAGTGGTGGTGGTGGTGGTGGTGGTGGTGGTGGTGGTGGTAGTGGTAGTAGTGGTAGGAGTGAAGTGGTAGTTGTAGCGGTTGTAGTGAACGAGTAGTAGTAATGGGAGCAATAGGAGTAGCAGTAGAAACACGAACAGCCTGCAGCCGGCCTCCGCCATGAGAAACAAGACGCGCTTCCGATACTCCGCCTCGCCTTCGTGGTTCTGCTGCTTGTGCCGCGCAAAGTCCTCCTCCGCGATGAAGACGCACTCGCAGAGCTGGCATACGAGGGGCCCCGTCAGGACAGGCCTGTCCGAGAAGACGCGCAGCTGGTCCCCCTCCACCTCTCTGCCGGGAGCGTAGCGGCTCTTCCCTTCGGGAGCGGCCGACGCACTGCGCACCCGCTCCGCGTACCGCTGCACGAAGTCCTCGTGCTGCGCAGACTGGCTGGACACCAGTTCCTAGTATCCGGCGAGGCGCCGCAGGAGTACCTTAGTCCGGATGCCGCTCTCCAGCATGAGCAGGTCCTGGTCGATCTTGCTCTGCGCCT